CCACCAGCAACGCCACAACGACGGCGACCAGCATGACGACGACAACGGCCAGCAGCAGCCGAACCACCACGGCCAGCAGCAACGCCACGACCAGCAACGCCACCACGACTGCGACCAACAGCACTGCGACGACAGCCACGACCCTGTAAGCAGCAGCAGGAGCAGCAGCAGCAGCAGCAGCAGCAGAAGCAGCAGCAGCAGCAGCAGCAGCAGCAGCAACAGCAGCAGCACCGGCACCTCCACCACGACCACCTCCGCAGGCAACGGCAGCACCCACACCAGCAGCACCACCACGACGGCGACCAGCAGCACCACCTCGACGGCGACCAGCAGCACCACGACAACAGCAAGCACTGGCACCACCGCGACGACGCCCAGCAGCGCCACCACCAGCAACGCCACCACGACTGCGACCAGCAGCGACACCACGACCGCGACCAGAAGCACCGCGACAGCGGCCAGCAGCGCCACCACCACGGTGACCAGCAGCACCCCCACCAGCAGCACCACGACGGCGACCAGCGGGAGGCAACGGCGCTGCCGGCTCCAGGCGCCCAGCAGAACGCCAGGAGGAAGAGGACGGCGAGGAGGCAGGGGAGAGGAAGGCGAGAGGCAGCGCGCCCAGCACCAGAGGAAACCCGCCCAGAGCCGTTGCCCCGCGAGAAAGGCGAGGAGGCGGCGGAGGCGGTGAAGGAGGCCCCGGAGGTGAGAGCCAGGGCACAGAAATCTAATTACGGGTGATCAGGGTGGTGCCCGCAGGCGGGAATTGGCCTTCCCTGTGCCTCCCGACGGGCCCCCCCGAGAGGGGTCTCCCCTTTTCCCCTCGCCTCTCTCCCTTGCACTGGCGCTGGGGCTGGCGCGGTCGCAAGTTGGGAGAGAACACAGAGAACCTTGCTTTCCTTTGCAGGACTGGGGAACCGGCCTGCCCCAACGATCTCGTCCCGCGCAAGGTCCGACAAAGCCAAAAAGCCCGGAGCCGACTTAGGAAAACACGGACGGCGACGCAGGCCCGTTCTCAAGGGCCCCGACGCCGGCTCTGTAGGCTACACGGAAGGCTCTGTCCCTCCACTTCTACATTGGTCTACCTGGCGACCTGGCCAGAAAGAGTGGCGGCGAGCGCCCCCTGCACCAAAGTGGGCCGCGAGGGCCACGCTCCAGAGGCAAAGCTGGCGCGCGAGCGGCGACGGCGCGTGGACTTGCAGGGGCGCAGCGTCGGCGCCAGCACCGCCCACGCCCCTCCCGCCACGCTGCTCTCAGCGCCTTGACGCGACGTAGGACGCAGCGGCCAACGCCTCATTGGAGCCGCGTGCCCGTGGCATGCCCTGGGGCAGTGTCTCTCCCAACACCCCCTGGCGACTCCAGAAAAAACGCGGGGCGATGTCGGGCAGGGCTCCGAACGCATCGTCGGCACCGGGGGACGGCGCGCCAAGTGCACCACGAGAACGGCGCACGACCAGGACTAGTGCACCAGCGGCACTCCGCGAACGTTTCCCCTGCGGGTGTACAGTTTTGTTGTTTGTTTTTGTTTGTGCCCCGCCCGCGTCACCAACCAGCCGAGTCCCAAAGCGAGCCCTGCAGCTAACAAGCCCGCCCCCGCCGCCCGCCACTTTCGCAACAGGCCCATTTTAGGCCTCTGCCGCCGCTGGCAAGCGCGCACATCCGAGAAAAGTGAGTCACAAAGCCGCCGCTGAGGACGTACAGCTCCGACTTCGAACCCGACCCGAGGACGCCGTAGACCAAGTTGTCGGCCGTGTTGGCCGGGGGCGGTGCTCAGGACTCGCGCAGCGGGGCAAGCTCATCGGTGCGGTCGGTGCCGCCGCCGCCGCTTGCGCCAGGTCCGCTTCCTCGCGCGTGGCCTGCCTCGCCCTTGGCCCCGTGCTGGACGACTCCTCGATGACTGGGCGACTGACGCCTACGACCGCTGGGCGGATCGTGGAGTTATCGCCCGGACAGTCACGACGGACTGTGTCCACTTCCCCAGGAAGGGGTTCCTCCAGGGTGCCGCTGCTCCCGTCCAGATCCACAGCGAGCGGGGGTCATCGCATTTCGTGGACACGGATGCCGAAAGCACGAGGTCCAGGATCGTCTGCCAGCACACTGGCACCTGGAGAAAGGCAGGGGCAACACCGACCAACAACGGCTGCCGACCCACGGGCCCGTTTTGCCGCGCGACCAACGGGATCGGCCAAGTTCTTCCGCGCGACAGAAGGATAACGCCAGACGTGCGACCGCCTGCGCCGTGGCCACGCGGTAGTCCTGGCGCAAAAAGTGCTCCTGAGGCGAGGGCGTCTGCAAAAGGAAACGCCCCCACGGTGCGCGGGGCCGGCGGCGCCGTCCTGCGGCTAGGGTTTGGCGGCGTGGCCTGGGCGGCTTTGCAGGCCTGCGCCGGGTCACGGTGGCCCCGTACGCTGGCTGCACCGTCTCGCTGCGAAGGCGAGGGCCAAAAGGTG